CCCGGATGGATGGTTGGCGACAGATAGCGGGATTGCCACCTTGCGATAAGAAAGGCGCAGATTAGTATTTGTCCTGACACGCATAACGTGCCACGACATGCGACCTCAGCCCTTAAGCTATACGCTACCAAATATCTATTCTATCTTCTCAGCTTTGACAACCCCTGACAAAAAAGCGGGCGACGGAAAAATTCAGCAGCGCCTGCGGGCGTACTTCGCAGGATGGGCAGTTCGGCCGTGACGGGTACGCGCCTCCTAACCCTCCAACCGCGCGCGGGGTGTGCGGTAAACCGCTAGCCCCCACGCGGCCTGCGCACGTGCCACGCCCACAGGGACTACGGGGAGGCCTGCCCATTTGTGTCCCGATCCTGGACACATACTCTGACCCTATTGACTCTATTGATACTCTGAACAGGTAATAGGATTAGGTGTTCTAAATGAAATGGAATATGATTGGATGCAAAGATATAAAATACTGCTCGCCAGCCATTGGATAACGGGTGGGACCTTGCCTAGTTTGAGAGCTAAACCTTACCTAGGAACCCAGCTAAGAACCCTTAAACAACCCGGGCGTGTGGTGATCTCACGAAGCTTACGAGGCAACACCCCAATAACCGAAGTCTACGACATCCCTAGGCCAAGATGTTCCAGGAATCCTACAACAATCTCCCTTCACTCAAAGGATCTCCTTGCAGAAGTCAGCAAAGACCGAGAAAGCTTCTGGAGACGACACCAAGAAGGGTGATGCCGCCGGCCATTCCCGGGCCCCGACTGGAACGAATTCCCGCAGAGCTTCTCTCTGCGGTACAAAGAGCTGGCAATGGAGAATGTGATGCGCCGCAGTGTTCTCGCTGTCCCCGCAAGCATATATCCCACCGTCTACAAGTCCCAGATCCGCGAGGTGCCTCTGGAAGTTGCCATGTCCGGTGATCATTTGCGTGACGTAGTGGTCGGGCTTAAACCAGGACGCACCAACCCTAGCCCCATCGCCGAAGAAGGCACGTGTGATGTGACCATTGACAAAAAAAAACCATCTGTCCTTCCACATCTTCGTTGACGTTACCCTCACGAGGCCTAACGCCTCCTTTTGGTTCCCTGTGTAGGTAACAATCATATCTCCTACCATGGCATCCCTCTCTTTTCTAACTTCAAATCGCGCCCGAGATTCCGCGAAAAGGATGTCGATGGGAAGCGCAACCGCAGCCACACAGAGCGACTCAGTCGATGCCGTGCGATACGCGGCGGTTACCGAAATGAGCACTCGGCGCTGCAGGGACTTGAGGACAATCAGGTCGCCCCTGGCACACAGGTCGATCCATCCAGCGGCAGCTTATGCCACTGTCGGTGCGAACACGGTATATAGCCAAGAGCGCTCCGAAACGCAGGCCTCATTTACATCCCGCCTGCCTGTCTAGTTTACTAAAAAGCGAACCGACCTTTTCGCTGATATATTTGCAATGGGTGGATACACCCATTCCTCTATCTATGTGGATGCCAAGGTACTTAACTGATTTCTTAAATTGAATCTTATTATTTCCAAATCGGATGATCGGTGTCCTAACCACGAGGTCAGCCTTTTTGGCTCTGACCGCTTTTTGTTTTTGATCCGGACGCGACCCTCCTCGTCTGCCTATTGGGGCCTTTTCGACAAGGTCGTTCTTGAGAACAATTGCCTCAGACTTTCGCGACGAAAGCTCTAATTTAGCAAAGCTACACTATTTCCTAATTTCGTCGACTACTTCCTGTGCATTTGTTTCTATTTCTTTGCGGGAAATACCGCTGACTATTACGAGAAGATCATCCGGGTACGCTAAGAATTTATCCCCTACTCTAGCTTCCAGAACCCTAACGAGTCCGTCAAACATGACGTTCCAACAAGTTGGACCTAACACTGAGTCCTGCGGGCAACCTTTGGTGGCCTACTTCGAGTCCGTTATATCTCCAAAAGAGAGAGAGACTTTCCTATCCTGGAAGTAGTCAACTAGCACTTAGAAGATGTTAAGACGGCAGTTCTTATCACTAAATCCTGATAATACGAGGAGCCACCAGACGTTGTCAAACGCGCCCGAGATGTCGAAGAGCAGCGCAATGACGTATCTCTCTTCAAAAGCAGAGACCATCCGTCGTAGCTACACGACAGCGTTCTCTGTCGACCTTCCGGGTGTGAAGCCGAACTGCCGATCGGAGATCTTCCCCGGCGAAAGTGACGTCTACTTGAGTCGATTCTGAAGAAGTTTTTCAAAAAGTTTCCCTATTTCTGAGACGAGACAGATCGGCCTATAGGATTTGGACTCGTCCACGTACTTGTCCTTGCCCTTCAGGAAGACTCTGTGCGAGTTTCCCTTCCAGATCAAAGAGAAGACCCCCTACTGAAAGCACACATTGAAAAGCCTACTGAACTTACCGGGGACTGCCCTGTAGGCGGCCTTCAGTACCGAGACCTCGATGAGATCCAGTCTTGGCGCCTTGTTGTTTGTAAGAGATTTGACTACTGCTGAGATTTCTGCACCCTTGAAGAAATTGTCATTGTCAGTGTCTGGCACATGGTGTGTGCTATCTCTGACTTCGCGCTGCTGCAGCGTGTCCTCGCTCTCCCGGTCATCCGCCACGTACAAGTCGAGGACGCGAGCAGCGGTCTCCTCTAGGGTGACGGTCGAGCAGTGTTCGCCACGGAGAGTGCTCAACAATTTGTCAACCCGGAGCTTATCGGCCTGATGCTTATAAACTTATCCCCAGGGTTTCGAGTTGCCTTGCCCAGTGAAAAATTTCCGCCAGCTCTCGAGTTTCGCCTTCCTCACCACCCTCGTGTACTCCTGCAAAGAAGAGCGGTAAACACACAGTTTGGCGAAGCGGGTCGGCTCAATGCTTTCCTGCTGGTATGCCCGTATATCCCTATTGACGATTTTCTTTTTTATCGTCAGATTTTTCGTCCACCACGGTTAGAACTTTTTATATTGCCTATTTCTTGGTATTGCCTGCTCACAGGCGTATATAAGGGAGCCCGCAAGTGTATCCGCGAATTTCACCACGTCCTCCACAGAGTGGAGCGAGACGTGGTGAAATTCGCGGATGCACTTAGACGTCAGACCAAGGACCTCAAGTTTAGATCCGGACAGATCGACGAGGCTCTCAGCGAACTTCTCCCAGTCGGCCTGATTTCTGTCGAACCGAACTTTCGTAATTCGCTGCTCCCTGCCTCTGACCTTCGGCACCCTTAGCGTAATATCCAGGGAGTTGTTGTCACTGGTTGTCCAGTTGCAACGTACCTTTTACTCGCCGACGAACTAGCTCATGGATGGGGACGAGAATGTCGTCACGTCGATGTGCGACGATCCCCATGCCAACTAGTAGTTGGGCGGCTGTCCGTCAATATTAAGGACTTTATATCCGCGGGTCCAGATAAAGTCCTGAAGCATCGCTCCCATATCGTCCAACTTACGGTCACCCCAGAGAGGGGATCGCGCATTGGCGTTCATTCCCACTAACACTCTCTGCCCCTTCAGTGAATGAAGCACCATTTTGAGGTGCCTGAGGTGCTCCTCTATCTCATCGCTGTACTGAAAATAGTACGATGCGACATAGAAGGAGAAGCCGGGTGCTCGCACTTCCGCACATGTGCAATGCGTCGTGCTGAGATGCGAGACAAACATTATCTGGAATTCGGTGTTGCAAGCGACTACTGCGGCCCAGGGATGTTGCGCGCACACAGCAGCCACCCTCATTCCAGTTCCTAGCCGGATGAAGGCGTACCCACTGTCCTGCTTCCGGACGTGCAACTTTTGCAAGAGCAGGCGGTCCAGTCGCTTTCGGACAATGAGTTGGCGAACCTCGCCTGTCACCACAGCCGAACGCCTCATGTTCAGCTGCAGCACCGTAATTCCCGTGGATCTAAGCAACGCGGGCAGTGGAGTGCTCCTGGCCGGTACCAGAGGCCGGAAGAATCGACTACTTCTACTGGGGTTTGGGACGGTGCCGCGATCGCGGCATCTACGTTTTTCGCGGAGATATTGCCAGAGCCTATCCTGATATGCTTCACCCGGTCGAAGATTGCCGGTGTGAGCAGCGTATCACATCTCTCTAAGCTAACACTGACAGCACGAAGGCTGAGAACCTGGGACCGTGCAGCGAATTGCTCTGAGCCGCGGATGTGCGCGGTCACGGTTGTTCGAAGCACCCTTCTGGATACGGGGGCCTCAACCAAGCGCGCGACCTAGCGTGCACGCGACAGAGCATCAGAGGATTTCCCCGCTTCCAAAGCTGCGGCCCTGTCTGGTCGGAAACGTTCAGCCAGACGGACACTTCTCGTCGGCACATCATTGAAAAATTTACCCATAATACATAGAATTTAGTGGTCGGAATGGAGGTCAAGCAACGCAGAGCCGTCTTACATTGCCAAGCCTAGAGAACCCGGAGCGTCGACAGGTACCCCGGGGTTGTGTCGTTAGCGACTGTGCATCTTTTCCGTCCTGGCAGCCATTTATACCCTCGGCACGATACTTCCGCCTTGGTATTAGGACTGTAAAAGCAGGCCCGCGCTGAAAATAAAAGGGAGAACTCCGGTTCCGTCGTCGCTACGAACGGAGCCACAGAGGCGCAGGGCCCGGTAGTTTTAATTTAACCAGTTAACTGTGGCGATCTCTTTGCAAAGCGCCCACCAGTGTGTGTCGCGATAATCAAGCGAATTAGCTCTCAGGAAGTTATAAATCCAACTCAAATTATTTATAATTTTCATTTGTTTGTTTCATTTTGTCTTGACCTCTAATCATTTTACCCATATTAAAATTTACAAATATAATTTAGTTTTCGCCAGAATTACAATTAAATATCAAATTGTAACAAAATTTTACGCATGACGGATATAGTTGTCATGACACAAGATTTTGCCACATCTCCATGACGGATATAGTCGTCAAACATACTTAACTGGTTAAGGGCAGCCCGCGCGCGCCTCACACGCACCGCAGTGCGCAGAACGAGGGCGAATGTAAGCCGTCCCGGGGATGAGGTTTGGGTGGTTGGAGTTTTTGGGTGAGTAAGGGCTTTTACCGCATTTGAACCAATTACGTGTTCGCGGTAGTGCTCTGGTGGGATGTGGGAGTGGTTTGCGGAGAGGAAATGTGGAGAGGAGTGAGGGTGTTTGCGATGCGGTCGGGTGGCGTCACCTCAACTGCAGAGAGCTCAGCCACTATCGGTGCGGACTTCACACCGCTCAAGCCGCCGACCCTCCTTCGACACTTCACTGTTTAGTCGTCACCCGTTCCGCTACCGCAACGAACTAGGGAACCTGAAAAAGAAGGATATATTAATACCTCCGGTTCCGTCACCGCTGGTGCAAAGCCACAGAAGCGCAGCGCCCGGTAGGTCTGTACAACGCAGCCTCTGCCCAGCTTTCTCGCAGCGCCAGGTTTGCGAGGAAGAGGGCGGTTGGGAGACAGGCCGCGACAAGAAGGGAAATACTAGTGCTTTACAGCATAAGGACAATTCAACTTTGTGCGGTAGCGCAGTGAATTTCTCGATGGGGAGGAAGAGCATCTTTGACGTTGTACCGCTGGGCATCTTTGACGTTGTACCGCTTAAGAACTACTTATGCGTTCATGGTAATACAGTGGGTCTCTCAGGAAGGGTGGGAGTGGTAATTTTGTGGGTACCGCGTGAGAAAGAATTTCCTGTTCGCGGTAATACTTGTGGATGTGGAAGAAATGGGGATATTTGGTTTTTAACCGCGTGGGAACAGATTATCTGTTTGCGGTTATGCAATGAGTTTCACAGGAAGGATGGAAGATGTAATGGTTGGAGAATACCGCGTGAGAAAAAATTTTCTGTTCGCGGTAATGTTATGTTAATTAAGGAAGCAATGATTGGGGAAGAGTTGGGAGGTGGTAGAATCCGTCAGCAACGCCAAGGCCCCTGCACATCAACTTGCGGTCTTAGAGGATTTTACACCGCTCAAGCCGCTGGCGTGCTTTCTGCGCCTCGACACCAAACTGCCGGCAGTTTGTCCCACGAAGGACCCGGTGAGCCCTCCTCCCCACCACTCGGGAGGAGGGGAGCGTAAGTCCAAGTCAGAACCCCATAAGACGTCAGGAGGAGTGATATTTGCGACTTCCTCCAGCGTTTCTGACTCACAGCACGAAGAGGTAGTGTTGGCACGTGGGAGATGCTGAGAACCAACATCTTCCTTCTGAGAATCTAAGAAAGGCTCAAGGTCCCGCGACCCGTTCGCAGAGTAGGCAGGAGAGGATCCCGCAGAAAGCGGGCCCCGGTAAATTACAGAGAATCCAATAGTTGCCGAATGCTGTCCCGGAGAACAACAAGGATAAACAAGCGTTAAGAGAACAACAACAGACGCGAAATCCCGCAAGTATCCTTGACATTTTTCATCTAGCCGGAAGGACCAATCGGAGACCGCATCAAGCGGCGTGACGGATCTTTGCAGTAGCGGCCTTTTGGGCAAAATGACGAGCACTTATTAACACTGTGCGAGCCGACGGCGAGCTAGCGAAACATCTGAGCGAGCGGGCGAGCGAGCGAACGAGAAAATCTGCCGCGTCTGAAGGACGAAATCCCGAGGAGTAGAGGCGAGCTGCAAGTGTCGAGTGGGTAAGCGAGAACTTTGTACAGATGCGGGTAAAGAAGTAGAGTTGCGAATTAATTCCGAGTCGATTGCCATCGCTTCCCGACGGCATAAACGCGATCAGAGTACTGGGAAGAGAACTCGTTGGAGATCCGTGGCGCCCGGAAGGTAGGGCCGCCCGGACTTACGAGATTTAGGGGTCCCGTCGCAGAGCGACAAGGGCCGTTCTCGAAAGCGTCTCGAGTGTAAAGATCCCGGAGACACGGGCGCGAGACTCGGTCGCTTTTTACCTTCGCCGGTCGCACAGTCGTCGTAGAATTATTGTCGAGATTGCATTGGAAATTGTATATTAAGCCGTGTCAGGGGCTCGTAAAGTTGTTTGTGGAAAACTGCTTCTGGCGAGAAGCTATACCGGACTGTGCGGGATCGGCCGGAAGCAGTAACCACTGTCGGGAAAGACCCGGCTGGCGCCCAGCGGAAAACCCGGTGAGATTCGCTTAACGACGCCGGACAAGAGAGCTTCATTAATACGACGCACGTATTAGAGCTGCCGTCGAGCGGCTCAGATCCACCGCAGAAAGCATCTCGCGGAACATCTCAGACGAGATATCGTTCTTTTTTGATCGCGTTATGGAATCTCCCGTGATACAGAATTTTGTTGCCTGTTCGTGAAGAACACAGGCTATCTAACGAGTATTATTTCCATGTCACACCATATAATTGATTATCTGTAGGAGTAAGTCGTTATCTGCCTCAGAGTTCAATAGAATTTAAGTATTGTTATTCTATTGTTTATCGGTCTCTCATTTATTATCTCTCCCGGCTCCACCCCGATGTGTCCGCGAAATCGGAGAAGAACGTTAAGAACCACGACGATCTTCCACGAGGAATAGCAAGAGATTCTACTCGCTTTTAGCGAAATAAACTGAGCTCGCTGAGGTGGGTCCGCTGCCGCGCAAAGGCGGGAGCAAAAAAGTCCCGCAACCGAAGCGGACGCGAACTGCAGTGACAACACTAACGTCGAGCTAAGCAACCTTTGCCTTATCAAAGAAGTCTGAGCGAATTGTATGCGGATACACCTTAGTACAGACCAAACATCCAAAATTAATCATTGTATCAACGTCTAAAGACAATCCTTTCGTCAAGAGAGAACGCATTTTAATCGAAATCTTAGACTCTTTTATTTATCTAAATTCTAAATTCATTAATGTCGAGAAACACGTCAAAACTCAAATTCGAGCACTTTATCAGAACATGATTAATCAAAAATGTCAATTAGAACGACAGGTACAAAGGAATGCTATAGCTTTCGCCACCAACCAACTCGACCTCTTCGCGTATCATTTAATGAAAAATCCGGGTACATTATTGCCATTGTAGGCAAAGTCGCTTACATAATTAAATGTATCCCCGTCGACGACACTAGAAGATCTATCGATATCTGTTACCTCGAACTTCCAGTCACCATTTCAAATAAGTTCATGTTCCTAGTACCACGAACCCGTATACTAATCAGAACCGGAACGTCAACGAAATGCAATCCCGTCCTTCCCACCATGTATAGCGTAGCCGGCAGATGGATTAGCTTACACTTAACCCAGCGGCCGTGGTGCCTCCGCAAAATCTTGAACCACTCACTCGTCCCACCTGGAGATATTTAGAAGACCTCGCGGACAGCGGGATATATTCCAACGAAGATCTGACTAGACTTCGCGATCACATCATGATTCCTGTGGAACAGCCGACACTCCTGCATAACTTTGTCAAAGCTGCAGCAGTCCACCGAATACCCGTTACTGAAAACCTAAGACCACCATGTAACACCAAGTCCATTATTAATGAAAAAAACAATCGAAGCGCTCTCGTGCTCAAAGACACACAAAAGTTGAGTGTTTTTTCTATTTTTTCTCACGCTCGCAGAGTATCTATGATTATATGTCTAACATTATATAGATTGGTATTTGTCACTTATCACGGTATCAGATGGGCGGGCACAGTTAGAATATAACCCACCGAAAGTGAAACAGAATTTTACTAACAGAATTTTACAGCAGACAATCATACCGGTGTATACGTGATAGAAAAAAATTTACTCTTCGTTACTTCAGAAAAAAAGAAAAAATGATTCCGCGTTTAAATTGTCGCTATGGACGTATCGACGCGTTATATCGTCCATCGCTGCATTCACGGCGATATATACGTAATTATATTTTGAACAACATTTTTCATCGACAAATATTTATGTATAATCTGTTGTATAAATTACCAACTGAGCCTACACCGTCGCCATATTGGTTCGTTTGTGAGAACATTACTCGCCGATTGCGAAAGTATGCGCACCGCATGAAGGAGACATATCATACGCCATTGTGCGCCCGTTGCCGCCGTTCTGATTGCAGACGCGTAGCACCAAATGTCGAACTGCCAAACTTTACCAGCAGATCGATGATCAAAGCTTTGCGTAAGAATTTCACGTCGATTGTAATGATTTTTTATGATATCGTACAAGAATGTTCATAATTGTTATTAACACATCAACGTACGTGCGGGAAGTGTCACAGTGCAACAGAAGTTTTTGTACGTTACGAATAAAATAACAACGTTATATTTTCTAATATGCGCATAGCTCATGATTTGATAATGTGGCATATCGCGACTGTAGGTCTGGCTGTCTCGCGTGCACTTGAGACGTGCAAAGGTTGATATATTTTTAGTAATCGCGATCGCATACACGCATTTTTTCTTGATCTTGTGCAAAATTGGTTTATCGTTTGAGTTAAATTTTTACGTAGACAAAAGTGCGTTGTAGAAATAATATTACCGTATATTGCGAAGCATGTGACCCGTGCCCCGCCGGTCGGTGGACGTTAGCCCTACCCCGGCCGGTGCGGTGGTCGTCCGGTGTCTCGGTTGACCGTATTCGATGTTCGGTGGCCCGGGTTTAGCTCGCTGTAAGTCCAGGCGTTTTTTTCTTGTGCGTGCGTGTGTGTGTGTGAGACGAGTGGGTGAGTGAGTGAGTGAGCGAGTATTCAGATAACAACCGTTTATTTAATTATTCCCCTGATGTTTTTGTTACAAGTGAATATCAGCGGGCCGTGCTTTAATTCTATCTTTGTCCGTTATATACTGTGGCGATAGATCCAGCCACGGAATCACGTGTTTACGTCGTAACGTTGTATCGACGGCTTAGTCGGTGATATTTGGCGTATTGGTTTTCTCGGAATCTATCTGGAGCAGGCGCGACGCTCGCCTCGTGGATTTCGTGGTGTCGGCGGAGAGCGGGCGTGGTGTTATGATTTCGGCGTGCGGTGTTGACGGTTCGCGTGTCGGCTCGGCGTTTTAAATTCAACGGTTTCGCATTGGAGTGCAAGACGGCGGAATGCACCTGCGGATCGCGGTATCGCGGGTCGCGGTGATCGCTGCACGTGGAATGCTCGCGTCGGCCAAATCCCGGAACGGAGGGCACGCAGTATCGTGCTCTTATGCAGAAGCGGCGGATTCGGTCGGGCGAGCCTGGCCAACGTGCAGTCGGCGGCGGTATATCGCGGTTCGCGGCGGTTACGGTATCGTTGGCACCTCCGGTGAGGTGAGGACGGAGAGACGCGCGTCGTCTCTAATCTCGTAGCGCGGAACGCGAAACGATACTCCGGGGCGTTCACACGCCCCGGAGGCGCAAGACCCGATGACGAGAGTGGGGTGGTCGAGGTCGAGAACACTCCACGGAGGCGGCGAATACACCACCCCAACTCGTGCCGATCCCCAGGTCTGTTACGGGCAAGAGGGCCGGGAGTACCCGGTGGAGACGGCGAACACACCGTCCCGAAAAGGAGGTTAGAATCCGGTGCCTGCGAATTACACGGGAGAGACAGCGTACGCACTACCTCGGTCTTTACCGGATGGAAGGATGTCGAGTCGGCTGCATACTCACAGCAGTGACGGCGTACGCACCGTCCCTCGACCTGTGGATCGGATCCGGAGCAGCTTCGACCTTTCGATCCGGCTAACTCCGGTGGAATCGGGTGCCGTTCTCGCGGCGGAGCGGTCTTTTATACTGCTTCATCACCGTTTTTCTAACACGTGTATGCGCTGACAACAACAATTGTTGTTGTCAATCGCGCACGTATCGGACGCGTGCGCCGCGTGTGAGAATTGTTTATGTGGCGCTGAGCGCCGTTTTGCGGCCGACGGATGGTCGGTCGGCCGCAGCATTTCGCCGGGGATGATGCATCGTCACAAGCATCAAATTTCGTCTTAACAACAACTTAACGGTAATTTTTTCGTGAAATCTCGTAGCTCCATGTTAGCAGTACGCTATATATAAGTTTAAAGTACCGCAAACTCAAAACACGTAGGTAACAATTGAGCGAACAGTCGTAGATAAAGCTGAACAAATAGATATGGAATGGATATTGCACAAAGTGTTTCGTGCATTATTTACTC